ACAATAGGAGCTACACTACAGTAAATCCTACAGGCAGTTATATAACAGAACATATAATTATATTTTCTGACAAGCAGAGTGCGATATATTCTGCTTCAGCTGAGGAGAGAGCAATTTGCTCTTGCTTGCTCGACTGCCATGAGATAGGGCCGATAGGTTCGAGTCGGTAGATGTAGCCAGTGCGCGATCGCCTGTTGTCTGAGTCGCCGGCATGGTCAGCATCGACGTAACCGATATATTTAGGTGTCGTAGTTCCGGTCTTGTGGTAGGTTAGGCCGATCATCGAGGTGCTGACGAGGTTTCCGTCGGTGTAACGATATGGCGTGGTGATGGTAGCTGGAGTTAGTCCGAAACGTTTGGCGATGGTGTCGGTGTATTTCGCGGCGCTGAGGTAGATTGTGTTTTCCCCCTCTTCTATGTTGAGTCCTAGATATTGTGTCACGGTAGACGAGACGGTGAGTGTAAGGTCCCGCTGTAGCTCCCCTTCAAACCAGGTCGTGACGTCGTCGGTGGAGCCGATGTAGAGTAGGTCGTCCACATAGACTATGAGTAAGATGTAGTCGGTACCCTTCGTAAGACGATACATCCCTTGGTTGTGCGGTAGTTGGCTGAATCCGATGCGGATTAGTCGGGCGTGAAGATGTTGCTGCCACAGTCTTGGGGCTTGCTTGATACCGTACAGTGATTTTTCCAGCTGACAGATTTGGTTGGGGTCTGCGTTGAATATGTGTCTTTGTTCGACGAAGATCTGAGCGTCGATGGGAGCATACAGAAAAGCGTTGGCGACGTCGATTTGGCGGAGCTTCTTCCGCTCCATGGCGGCTATCGCGAGGAGAATCCGCAGTGAGGTGTGTCGGCTAACTGGTGTGAATTTTTTGGTGAAGTCTCGTCCGTGCTCTTGGTCGAAGCCACGCACGACCCAGCGTGCCTTGAATTTGTCTATTGTTCCGTCGGCTTTCGTTTTCACGCGGAAAACCCATTTTCCCGTGAGGATGGTCTTGTTGCGTGCCACTCCGATAGGCACGACTTTCCAGGTGTTTGCGTTCTTGCAGTGCCTTTAATTCTCTGTCCATGGCTTCGCGCCATTTTTCCCTGTGTTCCCCCCCCCAGAGCCTGCTGAAAAGTGGCAGGCTCTTTAGGTGGTGCCGCTTCGTGGACAGCGGTGACGAGTCCCAATATCTGCAGCCCACTTTGTGTGTAGCGGGGGAGATTTGCATCCTCGGGATAAGCTGCTTCATCTCCTTCTTCTGGATCAGGTAGGAAGTTGGGCCCTATGCGTTCGGAGACGTTGGTGTCGACCGGTTGGGTTGTAACGTAACCTTTGTCGGCGAAGTCGTAGTGGACTTCGGCGTTGACACTTTCGCAAGGGTTGTCGTCAACCACCGAGATGGGCACGGAGCATAATGGAACTGCTTCCTCGGATGCGCCGTCCATGTTTTGCTCGTCCCAGTCAGCTTCGTGAGCTGGTGTGGCGAAGGCTCGGTTGCCACGGAAGCCGCCAGTGAGGTCTCGATCTGCTGCTAGGTTGTCCAGGTACGTTTGAAGGGAGAGTCGTTCGTAGAAAATGACATCACGTGCTGCTACTGTTTCCTTCGAATGGACGTAAAAAATCTTCCATGCGTTGTAATGTTTTTCGATGCCCAGGTGTAGTCCCCACTGTGCGCGTTGTGAAAATCTTCTGGCTCTTGCAGTGTGCGGTCGGTACTGTACCATGCACCCAAAAACTCGTAACATTTTTGTGTTGCCTAGTTTTCCTGTCCACAGCAAGTGCGGTGATGCGTTGTTCGGGAGCGATGATGACGAGAGCAAGTTGTGCAGCATGACTCGTAACATTTTTGTGTTGCCTAGTTTTCCTGTCCACTGGTGGCTGGGCAGTCGCATGCCGCGTAGCAATTTGCGCATGGTGTTCTGGAGAGTTTTGTTCATCCGTTCTGCCACGCCTGATGATGGGCGTATCGGCGATGAGGGCTGGTGCCGTTGTTCTGGAGAGTTTTGTTCACTCGCGGGTCCTTCAACGGCACCAGCCCTCATCCGTTCTGGAGAGTTTTGTTCACTTGCTGTTGATGGGCGTAGGGAAGCGAGATGAGTCGCTTGATGCCCCGTTCTGCTAAGTACTGCTTGAACCTTTGTGACTGATATTCTCCTCCCCCGTCTGATTGGAAGCTTTTCAGCTTTGCTCCTGATTCTCGTTCTGCCATAGGTATCCAGGCAACGAAGGCTTCGAAGGCCATGTCGCGACTTGGAAGGTTGAGATGCCAGACGTATCGGGTGGCGGCGTCGATAAAAGTGATGACATAGTTGTATGCTCCCTGTCCATGTTTGCGGGTATACAAGATGTCGCTGTAGACTTTCTCCAATGGTGCGTAAGCTGGCGCGCTTGGATTGTGGTGGGAGACAAACTGTTGATGTGGTAAGTCAGCTTCAGGACAGGTAAAACATGTACCTCGGGCTCGTTGAAGTTCTCTGCTGTCGGTTAGAAGTAGGGAGTCTTTGTCGAGTACTCCTGCCCTGATTGTGTTGATTAACATTGTGTTGGTTGGATGACCCAATCTTTTGTGCCACAGGGATTCGCTTGCGCGGTGTCCTGGTGAGCGCCTGTATAGGTTGGAGTTGGAGTAAAATCCCACGGTGAGGTTGGAACTTCTGTGAACTTCGCATGGAGTGGGAGTCAACTGCTGCGCAGGAGTCGGTGGAGTATCGGCGATGAGGGCTGGTGCCGTTGAAGGACCCGCGAGTGGTGTCGTAGTTGTTGTTGCTGCTACCGATGTTGTCTCTGCTGCTGTCGATGTTGTTTCTGTTGCTGTCGATGTTGTCTCTGGTTGCCGAACTGTTGCTAACGCTCTTGTTCTTTCTGCTTCAGGTATGGTGTGTGAGTACCAGAATCCTTCAGGACTGAAGTCGGGGTCAAGATCTGGTGGATTTGTCCAAGAGGTGAAGTTGACGATGGCGTCGCTGTCGGCGGTGCCTTGGTCTGGAACGAAGTCAAGAACGAAGACATTATTCTTCAAGACTGCCTTGCCGATGTAGAGTCCACCTTTCCCGTGGTACAACCTGAACTCCTGAGCGGTGCTGTCTGCTTCGAGATGAATTCCCTTCGCCATTAGTTGGCTGACGCTGAGTAAGTTATAACCGAGTCCTTCTGCGATTAATACCTTCGACATTTGCAGAATAACGTTGGTTTCTCGAGATTGAAGTTGAAATATCCCTTGTCGTCGTGTGTGCAGGTCTCGGTTGTTGGCGACGGTGATTACGACTTCGCGCTAAAGTCGGTGTTCCTGTTGAACGAAGTGACCGGAGGAGCACATGTGCTGTCCGCAGCAGCTGTCCAAGAACCAGGTGTTTTTTCCGGATGGCTCGCTCTGGGCGATGGCTGCATACGTCGGGTTAGGCTCCAGTGATTCTCAGCGTGGGATGCTTTGGTTAGGTTGTTCTTCCGGTGAGTAGTATGGTGGCGATCCGGTGATGCAGGAGTCTGTCGTTCTTGTCATGCAGCTCACGATGTTTCTTGTACCTTGTGCAGGTGTTGTGGTTGATGTCGTTGAGGACTGTACTTGAGTGGTGGGATGCGCCTGTGTAGAAGCCACTTGACTGCTTGAGGGCCGAAGTTGACTTTGCGGTGATGTTGACTGCTGTTGATTCGGGCAGTGAGTTCGAGGGTGTCCTGACGTCTTGCAGAGATGGCAGAACGGTGGTACGTACTGTTGAGTTTGATGTCTGTTTTGTCGATTGTTGTTGTTGTAGCGCCGTTGAGTGTGAAACGCGAAATCTGGTGCTGACGCTCTCTTCTTGTGTCGTTCTTCGTGTAGGTCCATGTCCTGCTGTTCAGCATGAATTTCGGCACAGAGTGCCGCTTTGGAGATCTTTCCGTGAGCTCGGAGAATCTCTCGAGTGGAGCGCCAACGAGGACCAAGGCCAGAGATGACAGCTGTCATGAAGGCTTCTTCGGATATCGATCCTCCGCATCGAAGGAGTCTGTCGCGCAGTCCACGACAACGGCTGATATACGCCATCCCCTTTTCGCCGGGTTTCATTTCCACTGTTGTCAGCTGTGCCATAAGACGACTTTGATTAACACTGTCTGTTGCTTGATACAGGTTCTTCAGGTGGTCGTACGCGAGCTCAGCGGAGTTTCCGTACCCTCAATAAGACCGAATGTTCTGCTGCTCGTTTGACGTTATATTTCGTAGAAGTATCGTGTACGCCATCAGCGACTGATATGTGTACTGCTGCTTGTCGTACTGCATCCTGTGTATTGGGTATAGCAGGGACCCGTCAAAGAATCCGAGAATCTGCGCGCCCTCCATCATCAGCTCGAACTCGAATGACCAGGTATAGAAATATTTTCCGTCGAAGGGTGTCGATGTCTGCAGTTTTAATACGTGTGCAAACTGTGATTGATCCTGAAGTGGGTCCAGTGTCTTCTCTTGTCGAGGTGAAGACTATTGGTGTGGCATGAAGCTGATGAAGCCACGTTGAGGCTCGTACAGGGCAAAGGTAGGTTGCTGCTTGTTTCCGCGCGCATAGGATGAACCGTCACGGCTCATTGGAATAACCCCATTGTTGTTGTCGCTGTTGTTTGATTGCGCAGGTGCTGTTTGCTAATGCTGCTCGTAGAAGGACATGAAGGAGAAGAACTTCTCCATCATGCTTGGGTCGAAGCCTGTTGCTTGATTTGCGGGAGTTTCGGTAGACTCCACAGCTGGTCTTGTTGCTGTGCCTTCCTCTGTCTGTAGGCCAGAGGCTGGAGGTGGAGTAGGAGTGGTGCAGGGAGATCCGTTGGAGCTGTGCCTTCCTCTGTCTGTAGGCCAGAGGCTGGAGGTGGAGTAGGAGTGGTGCGGGGAGATCCGCCACCATACTACTCACCAGAAGAACAAGCTGACCCGGCCCCGTTCCTGCCCAGTGCCCGGCCCCGTACCTGCCCAGCGCCCGGCCCCGAACCTGCCCAGCGCCCGGCCCTGTACCTGCCAGCGCCCGGCCCCGTACCTGCCCAGCGCCCGGCCCTATACCTGCCCAGCGCCCGGCCCAGTACCTGCCCAGAGCCCGGCCCCGTACCTGCCCAGCGCCCGGCCCCGTACCTGCCCAGCGCCCGGCCCCGTACCTGCCCAGCGCCCTGCCCCGTACCTGCCCAGCGCCCAGCCCCGTACCTGCCCAACGCCCGGCCCCGTACCTGCCCAGAGCCCGGCCCCGTACCTGCCCAGCGCCCGGCCCCGTACCTGCCCAGCGCCCGGCCCCGTACCTGCCCAGTGCCCGGCCCCGTTCATGCCCAGTGCCCGGCCCCGTACCTGCCCAGCGCCCGGCCCCGTACCTGCCCAGCGCCCGGCCCCGTACCTGCCCAACGCCCGGCCCCGTACCTGCCCAGCACCCGGCCCCATCCCTAGCCCAGTACCCGGCCCCGTACCGGCCCAGCGCCCAGCCCCGTACCTGCCCAGCGCCCGGCCCCGTACCTGCCCAACGCCTGGCCCCGTACCTGCCCAGAGCCCGGCCCCGTACCTGCCCAGCGCCCGGCCCCGTACCTGCCCAGCGCCCGGCCCCGTACCTGCCCAGCGCCCGGCCCCGTTCATGCCCAGTGCCCGGCCCCGTACCTGCCCAGCGCCCGACCCCGTACCTGCCCAGCGCCCGGCCCTGTACCTGCCCAGCACCCGGCCCCGTACCTGCCCAGAGCCCGGCCCCGTACCTGCCCAGCGCCCGGCCCGTACCTGCCCAGCGCCCGGCCCCGTACCTGCCCAGCGCCCTGCCCCGTACCTGCCCAGCGCCCGGCCCCGTACCTGCCCAACGCCCGGCCCCGTACCTGCCCAGAGCCCGGCCCCGTACCTGCCCAGCGCCCGGCCCCGTACCTGCCCAGCGCCCAGCCCCGTACCTGCCCAGCGCCCGGCCCTGTTCCTGCCCAGTGCCCGGCCCCGTACCTGCCCAGCGCCCGGCCCCGTACCTGCCCAACGCCCGGCCCCGTACCTGTCCAGCACCCGGCCCCGTCCCTAGCCATGGCCCCGTCGCCCCTAGCCATGGCCCCTCGCGACCTGCCGCCCCTAACCGCGGCCCCAGTGCCCTGTTGCAACATGGTGGGTGAGGGGGTGGCAAGAGGGGGTTCCTCCTGCCCGCGCGCCCTACAGTCGCACGCGCAGCTCCGCCCCTTCCCCCCTCCATGGGGATGGCGGGGAGAGGGTGTGAGGGGGTGGCGGATGTGCCTCAGCAGCAGCAGCTGCCGCCACGCCTCCTCCTCTCTCTCTCCCTGCCGCACCTTGTGTTGGGAGAGGGGGGGGAGCTTGGAGGTTCAGGGGGAGGCAGGAGGGGATCTGCAGCACCAGGCCCCCCACCCTTCTCCTACCTCCCCCTGCTGCGGGTGCAGCAGAAGGGGGGAGGGGATCTGCCGCCACCCGATACGTCTGGCATCTCAACCTTCCAAGTCGCGACATGGCCTTCGAAGCCTTCGTTGCCTGGATACCTATGGCAGAACGAGAATCAGGAGCAAAGCTGAAAAGCTTCCAATCAGACGGGGGAGGAGAATATCAGTCACAAAGGTTCAAGCAGTACTTAGCAGAACGGGGCATCAAGCGACTCATCTCGCTTCCCTACGCCCATCAACAGCAAGTGAACAAAACTCTCCAGAACGGATGAGGGCTGGTGCCGTTGAAGGACCCGCGAGTGAACAAAACTCTCCAGAACAACGGCACCAGCCCTCATCGCCGATACGCCCATCATCAGGCGTGGCAGAACGGATGAACAAAACTCTCCAGAACACCATGCGCAAATTGCTACGCGGCATGCGACTGCCCAGCCACCAGTGGCCCGAGGCGATGGACCACGCTGTCATGCTGCACAACTTGCTCTCGTCATCATCGCTCCCGAACAACGCATCACCGCACTTGCTGTGGACAGGAAAACTAGGCAACACAAAAATGTTACGAGTTTTTGGGTGCATGGTACAGTACCGACCGCACACTGCAAGAGCCAGAAGATTTTCACAACGCGCACAGTGGGGACTACACCTGGGCATCGAAAAACATTACAACGCATGGAAGATTTTTTACGTCCATTCGAAGGAAACAGTAGCAGCACGTGATGTCATTTTCTACGAACGACTCTCCCTTCAAACGTACCTGGACAACCTAGCAGCAGATCGAGACCTCACTGGCGGCTTCCGTGGCAACCGAGCCTTCGCCACACCAGCTCACGAAGCTGACTGGGACGAGCAAAACATGGACGGCGCATCCGAGGAAGCAGTTCCATTATGCTCCGTGCCCATCTCGGTGGTTGACGACAACCCTTGCGAAAGTGTCAACGCCGAAGTCCACTACGACTTCGCCGACAAAGGTTACGTTACAACCCAACCGGTCGACACCAACGTCTCCGAACGCATAGGGCCCAACTTCCTACCTGATCCAGAAGAAGGAGATGAAGCAGCTTATCCCGAGGATGCAAATCTCCCCCGCTACACACAAAGTGGGCTGCAGATATTGGGACTCGTCACCGCTGTCCACGAAGCGGCACCACCTAAAGAGCCTGCCACTTTTCAGCAGGCTCTGGGGGGGGGAACACAGGGAAAAATGGCGCGAAGCCATGGACAGAGAATTAAAGGCACTGCAAGAACGCAAACACCTGGAAAGTCGTGCCTATCGGAGTGGCACGCAACAAGACCATCCTCACGGGAAAATGGGTTTTCCGCGTGAAAACGAAAGCCGACGGAACAATAGACAAATTCAAGGCACGCTGGGTCGTGCGTGGCTTCGACCAAGAGCACGGACGAGACTTCACCAAAAAATTCACACCAGTTAGCCGACACACCTCACTGCGGATTCTCCTCGCGATAGCCGCCATGGAGCGGAAGAAGCTCCGCCAAATCGACGTCGCCAACGCTTTTCTGTATGCTCCCATCGACGCTCAGATCTTCGTCGAACAAAGACACAGATTCAACGCAGACCCCAACCAAATCTGTCAGCTGGAAAAATCACTGTACGGTATCAAGCAAGCCCCAAGACTGTGGCAGCAACATCTTCACGCCCGACTAATCCGCATCGGATTCAGCCAACTACCGCACAACCAAGGGATGTATCGTCTTACGAAGGGTACCGACTACATCTTACTCATAGTCTATGTGGACGACCTACTCTACATCGGCTCCACCGACGACGTCACGACCTGGTTTGAAGGGGAGCTACAGCGGGACCTTACACTCACCGTCTCGTCTACCGTGACACAATATCTAGGACTCAACATAGAAGAGGGGGAAAACACAATCTACCTCAGCGCCGCGAAATACACCGACACCATCGCCAAACGTTTCGGACTAACTCCAGCTACCATCACCACGCCATATCGTTACACCGACGGAAACCTCGTCAGCACCTCGATGATCGGCCTAACCTACCACAAGACCGGAACCACGACACCTAAATATATCGGTTACGTCGATGCTGACCATGCCGGCGACTCAGACAACAGGTGATCGCGCACTGGCTACATCTACCGACTCGAACCTATCGGCCCTATCTCATGGCAGTCGAGCAAGCAAGAGCAAATTGCTCTCTCCTCAGCTGAAGCAGAATATATCGCACTCTGCTTGTCAGAAAATATAATTATATGTTCTGTTATATAACTGCCTGTAGGATTTACTGTAGTGTAGCTCCTATTGTTTGGTGGTGCACCTTTGTTCATTTTGCTATATGTACCTTGTGTGCTATAGTGAAACCCACCATTCCTCCTTTCCATTCTCTCTCGACACTCAACTCTCTCAACACTCACTACCCATGGCTCCTAAGTCACGCTAGTATTCTAACATGGTATTAAGAGCAATAAGTTCTAGGACCTAACATTAATGGGCCCACCACCTAATGCCCTGCTAGCCTAGGCCCCGGCCCGTCGCCCCTTGGCGTCGCCCCTAGCCCCTAGGCTCGGCCCCTTGGCCCCGTCGCCCCTAGCTCGGCCCCTCGGCCCCGCTGGCCCCGTCGATTCCGTCGCCCGCGCCCGGCCCGAACCTAGCCCGGGATCGGCCCGTACCTAGCCCGTGCCCGGCTCCGTCTCGCGCCCGCGCCCGGCCCGTACCTAGCCCGCGATCGGCCCGTTCCTAGCCCCGCGCCCGGCCCGTACCTAGCCCGCGACAGGCCCGTACCTAGCCCGCGCCCGGCCACGTCTTACGCCTGCGCCCGGCCCGGTCTCTTGCCCACGCCCGGCCCGTACCTAGCCCCGCGTACGGCCCAGTCCCTCGCCAGCGCCCGGCCCCGTACCTCGCTTGCGACCGGCCCGTTCCTAGCCCCGCGCCCGGCCCGTACCTAGCCCACGCCCGGCCCCGTCTGTCGCCAGCGCCTGGCCCCGTGACTAGCCCGCGCCCGGCCCGTATCACGCCCGCGCCCGGCCCCGTACTTAGCCCGCGCCCCGGCCCCGTACCTAGCCCCGCGCCCGGCCCAGTACCTAGCCCGCGCCCGGCCCCGTTCCGCGCCCAGCGCCCGGCCCCGTACCTGCCCAGCGCGCGGCCCCGTACCTGCCCAGCGCCCAGCCCCGTACCTGCCCAGTGCCCGGCCCCGTACCTGCCCAGCGCCCGGCCCCGAACCTGCCCAGCGCCCGGCCCTGTACCTGCCAGCGCCCGGCCCCGTACCTGCCCAGCGCCCGGCCCGTACCTGCCTAGCGCCCGGCCCCGTACCTGCCCAGCGCCCTGCGCCGTACCTGCCCAGCGCCCGGCCCCGTACCTGCCCAATGCCTGGCCCCGTACCTGCCCAGAGCCCGGCCCCGTACCTGCCCAGTGCCCGGCCCCGTACCTGCCCAGCGCCCGGCCCCGTACCTGCCCAGCGCCCGGCCCCGTTCCTGCCCAGTGCCCGGCCCCGTACCTGCCCAGCGCCCGGCCCCGTACCTGCCCAGCGCCCGGCCCCGTACCTGCCCAACGCCCGGCCCCGTACCTGCCCAGCACCCGGCCCCGTCCCTAGCCATGGCCCCGTCGCCCCTAGCCATGGCCCCTCGCGACCTGCCGCCCCTAACCGCGGCCCCAGTGCCCTGTTGCAACATGGTGGGTGAGGGGGTGGCAAGAGGGGGTTCCTCCTGCCCGCGCGCCCTACAGTCGCACGCGCAGCTCCGCCCCTTCCCCCCTCCATGGGGATGGCGGGGAGAGGGTGTGAGGGGGTGGCGGATGTGCCTCAGCAGCAGCAGCTGCCGCCACGCCTCCTCCTCTCTCTCTCCCTGCCGCACCTTGTGTTGGGAGAGGGGGGGGAGCTTGGAGGTTCAGGGGGAGGCAGGAGGGGATCTGCAGCACCAGGCCCCCCACCCTTCTCCTACCTCCCCCTGCTGCGGGTGCAGCAGAAGGGGGGAGGGGATCTGCAGCACCGACCCCCCCCCCCCCCCCCCCCCCCCCCCCTCATCCTTCTCCTACCTCCCCCTGCTACGGGTGCAGCAGTGGGGGGGAAGCGATCTGCCACCCCCCTGCTGCGGATGCGGCAGTGGGGGGAGGGGACCTGCAGCACCAGCCCCCCCCCCGCCCCCCCCCTTCTCCTCCATCTCTCTGCTGTGGGTGCAGCAGTGGGGGGGAGGGTATGGGGGTGGCGGGTGTGGCCAACCTGCTGTCACTGCTCAGCCACCAAGGAAGGAATTATACCTTCGCGAACTACTGGAAGAGGCAAAGCTGGCTAAGTTACCCAGCTTCTCCCTGTTCTGCGACAACCAATCGGCCATTCACATAGAGAACAAGAACGGTTTCGCGAATCGAACGAAGCACATCGCCCTCCGGTATTTCTTCGTAAAAGACAAAATCGAGAAGGGGAGACTTGAGCCATCCTACTGTCCCACATCCGAGATGGCAGCCGATTACTTGACCAAGAAACTCGGAAAACAGAAGTTCGAGTACTACATGCTGATGTCTGGACAAGGCCACGTCATCAGCATCGACACTCCAGAAGCGAAGGGGAGTGTTGGAAACAAATAGTTGCCGCTTCTGAAGTATCGAAGTAATAACACGAACGAAGCAGACTACA